TCTTAACTCCGAGTGAGATGAACGGGCGGCTGACTGCTTCCGATACATTCTTCACGTACGAAAGAGCTCGTCAAAATTTTGGGCCAGTTGGATTTGGTTTCCTGGCACGTCTGCGTATGCACTGGTTGACAAAATTGCGCGGGTAACCGTTCGCCCTCAGTACCTGTCAAACATATTGTAGTTCAGAAACTTTGGCTTCTACTTCGCTTCGACGTCTCTCAACACGCCGTCGTAGCAGGACCGACTTAGCGTGTCAACCAACAATTTTCTAAACGGCGATTATTAGGATGCCGCAGTAGTTTCAAAACGTATCAGTTTTATTGTGTGATAATGAAAGACGGCGCAGAGCCGGCCTCATTCTTGCTCCTCTCGAAGGTCGGTAAAAAGTGGGTCAAGTCAGCTAGAAACGATATCGCGCATAGTGGTCTGCGTGAAGTAAAGCCACCGGCTCTCGTTAGCCGCATAAATGTTAGGGCAAATTGATGGGCATTTGTACAGAAAAGAGCATTGAGACCATACGTCTTTGGGCTTGAATTCCGACCGTAGGACAAAAATCAATTTGATTGAAACGAGCTAACCAGTTCTGGGCTATTCTTTCAGCAAAATAATGTTTTCTGTTACTAGTAAAAGGTTTCTGATGGATTCCAGTGCTCTGACTGCTACTAACCCGGCAGTGAAGGCTAATCCCAACGAACACAATGGATAGAGTAAGAACTAGAAGGCGTTGCGATCACCGGAATCAAACTTTTACTTGTCTAAGCTTTCGGGGTCTTTCTAGAGTCCATCATCAGAGATAAAAGGCGTAAACGAAAACCAAGCAACGGTTATAGGACGCAGGGGCCAATCAACGGTTATGGAGGGGACGGGGAAGCGGAAAATGGTAGGACAGTACTCGTCATGCGAACTTCCGACGGCGAAATCGAAACAACGGTCTACAGGAAGGCGATGAACACAACACAGCTTCTCAATATTCACAGCAACCATCCGGCGGCTCACAAAATAAGTTCTTTATAAAAACACTCTTCAAAAGAATCCAGACTCATTGCAGTAACTCGGAAGAAAAGGCATGCGAGGCCCAATATCTCCGCGACCAATTTATGCGGAATGGTTATACGAAGGGCTTCACAAGCCAATGCCTACATGCTCGCCCTTCGAGGACCCAACTAGGACCATCCCGTTCGATATGGCATGCGCTGCCA